TCTTCCGAAGAAGGGGCCAGTGTAGATGTAGCCTCTGTGTTTGACATAGTATTTTATTTAAAAATGAAGCCTGGCCAACAAACCCCCATTTGGGACCAAGCCCCCATCTGCCCACAGCATCATAACACTCCTGCACTCCCCTTCCTCCAGACCCTCAATCTGAACCTATCATACACTGGAACCACCTGCCCTGAGCCCCTTCTTCCGAAGAAGGGGCCAGTGTAGATGTAGCCTCTGTGTTTGACATAGTATTTTATTTAAAAATGAAGCCTGGCCAACAAACCCCCATTTGGGACCAAGCCCCCATCTGCCCACAGCATCATAACACTCCTGCACTCCCCTTCCTCCAGACCCTCAATCTGAACCTATCATACACTGGAACCACCTGCCCTGAGCCCCTCACATACCCCAACCAAAATTCCTGCACCCTCATATCCCAAGCCTGTGGCTTGCTTAGTACCCCAACCCTACATCTGACCTCAATACTGCCCGGCCTGAAGCCCCCTTCCCGACCCAGCATCCCTTTCTCCACCTCCTCCTGCATCCAGATTTCCTCCCAAAGCTTGCATCTCTCACACCTTCCCACACCCAAATCCCTCATTCCCACCCTACAGCCTACACATCCTGCCTCAACCCAGCGAGGGTAATGCTAGACGGTAGGGCTGTGTCTAGATTGGCATGATTTTCCAGAAATGCTTTTAACGGAAAAGTTTTCCGTTAAAAGCATTTTCGGAACAGAGCGTCTAGATTGGCATGGACGCTTTTCCGCAAAAGCACTTTTTGCGGAAAAGTATCCGTGCCAATCTAGACACACTTTTCCCAAAAAAGCCCCGATCGCCATTTTCGCGATCAGGGCTTTTTTGCAGAAAACAAATCTGAGCTGTCTACACTGGCCCTTTTGCTCAAAAGCTTTGTGCAAAAGGGACTTTTTTGCCTGAATGGGAGCAGAATAGTACTTCCGCAAGAAGCACTGATTTCTTACAGTAGGAAGTCAGTGCTTTTGCAGAAATTCAAGCAGCCAGTGTAGACAGCTGGCAAGTTTTTCCAGAAAAGCGGCTGATTTTCCGGAAAAACTGGCCAGTCTAGACACAGCCTGGGAGTTTTTCAGGATTCCGGAGATATCCCAGAAAAACTTTTCTGCATCCAGGGATGCATTTGTTCTTATTCTTTTTTTAGTGGAGGAGCCAACATGCTCTTTCAGTAACCCCTATATTCCTCTTTCCACAAGGAATAAGGGGGCTTCTCTGACATTTGGTCCAGTCTAGACAGGCCAAATGTTGGAAAAACCTCTTCCTAAAGAAGAATTGGGGAAAAAAGCAGCAGTATAAGGGTTGGGGGTAGCAAGTGATGGAGAGGAGGAGAATAGAGAGGAAGAGGACGGGGCTTCAAGGAAGGGGCGGGGCGGTAGATCTTGGCTTGTAAGGTTGGAGACCGCTGCCTTAGGAGATACCTACACAATCATATTGTCATCAGTATGCTTGCACATATTGGAAGTTAGAAAAACATTTCTTCTGAAATGTAAAATTAAATAGAATTTTTTGCTCTCACACAGCTCTGCTAGGCTAAATAGGAGTAAAAAGCATTAAAAAAAATCATTTTCCCACTAAGGTCAACTGTTTACAACTGTGAATGGATCTAGACTGCAGATCTATTGAATTAGAGGGTTCAATTTTCAGAAGTCACTTTTCAGAGTAGTGCCAAATTTTATGTGGAAGAACAAAATATTATTGTTTGTTCAGCTGCTGGAATTTGAATAGTGGAATTAGAGAGTCTCTTGTGGGGCATGAATGCACATTCATTAATATTTCAATTAAATTGTTACTTATAGCAATTACCATACAAGATAAAACATTGTCTTTTTGGCAATGTATTTTGAGATCTTTCTATATTACATGAATTGGAGTAATCATTTGATATATTATTACAATTTCTTGTAATATGGATTTTTTAAAATTTCTGCATATCCTCAAGCAAGCTGTCTGACTATCAAATGCTGTCACAATTATATCAGATTTGTTAGAAAATAATGCAGTTCTCACCAACGTTTCTCCACACTGCATTGAATAAACGATTTGTTTTGGTTGTCGTCACACAAGAGACTTCTAATATATTGGTTAGAAATCAGAAATTCAATTAAAATAGTTTATTTTGGCTATAAATGGCCTTTGCAATAGAGGAAATTCTGTGTACCACATCTGTTGAAAAGAGAGGCTCTGTAGAGGTTGAGCATTTTCAAGAAAAGTTAACATTGATGTTTCTTTTGTTTTTCTTTGTATCACAGGAGTCATCAGAACTGCCTTGCATAATATGGACAGGGAAGCCAGAGAGCATTATTCCGTTGTCATTCAAGCCAAAGATATGGCTGGACAGGTTGGAGGGCTATCGGGGTCAACAACTGTAAACATCACACTCACTGATGTCAACGACAATCCTCCCAGGTTTCCTCAGAGTATGTTTTTAAGTTCAATATGTATTTGATTTGAAAATCCAGATTGATTTTTGGTGATAAAAGTGGCATCAATCAGTATCAAATTGCAGAAGAGGGGACACAAAAATGATGGGATGGTCCAGCTTGTTTTCATAAAAAAGGGATTTTATTTTGCACCTTTTCTGTATGGGGTGGCATGTGTGTATGTAATATGGTTCCAGCATCGCAGCCAATCATTATCCCTTTACATTTAATAACATTACTAACAACAATAGGGAAAAAATAAAGTTTTCAGCTACCAGTGTGAAGCTACGTCTACACTGTAGCCTTCTTCTGGAAAAGCTTATGCAAATGAAGCGCAGAGTGGAATATCACCACACTTCATCTGCATAATTAATCAGCAGCTCTTTTTGCAAGAGGCTTTTGCACAAAAAGGAACTGTGTAGATGGCTTCTTTTTGTGCAAAAACCCGTTCTTGCTCAAGAGCTGTTCTTCCTCATTTTTTCAAGAAGAATGGTTCTTGTGCACGAAGGGGTTTTTGCACAAAAAGGAGCCGTTTACACAGCAACTTCATTTGCATAAGCTTTTCCAGAAGAAGGCTACAGTGTAGACGTAGTGATAAAAGTGGCATCAGTCAGTATCGAACTGCAGAATGGCTAAGTATAGTTCAAGGTAGTTAGTAACTATTAGCCATCCAATCTTTCTCCTAAATTAGTAGCTGAAAACTTTATTTTTACTCTTTTGCTGCGCTTTTAGAAAGATTGTCTTTTTTATAAGTTTTTTAATATTTGTTTTGTCTTTTTGGTCTTTCCCCTCCACACACACTGTGGGGATATGTCTACACTATAGCTTTCTTTCAGAAAAAGCCACGCAAATTGCGCTGAGCAATTTGCATAGCTTTTTCCGATTGCTTTCCAGGAAGAGGCTTTTCCAACATTTGGTCCCATGTAGACGGAAAAGCCTCCTCTTTCGGAGGAGCCCTTATTCCTCATAGAATGAAATATACAGGGCTCTCTGAAAGAGCGTGTCTGCTCTTCCATGAAAAAAAGTGGAAGAGCAAACGCATTCCATGATGCAGCAGAGTTTCTCCAGGGTGTAGACAGAGCCTGGGATTGCTCTACACAGACACACACACACAGACACAGACACACACACACACACACACACACGCACACACACACACACACACACACACACACACACACCCCTCTGGGGCTGCTGCCCTTCCTTGGCCTTGGGGGACACGAGCTGGAGCTGGGGGGTGTGGCCTGCCTTCTTGGTGGCCTGGGGGAGGAACCAGCAGAGCCTGGGATTGCTCTACACAGACACACACACACAGACACAGACACACACACACACACACACACACGCACACACACACACACACACACACACACACACACACCCCTCTGGGGCTGCTGCCCTTCCTTGGCCTTGGGGGACACGAGCTGGAGCTGGGGGGTGTGGCCTGCCTTCTTGGTGGCCTGGGGGAGGAACCAGAGCTGGCGGGAGCAGCCTGCCACGTCAGCGACCGGCTGGGCCGCGGGGGGCTGGGGTGCGGCCCCGCAGGGGCTGTTGGGGGAGCCGGTAGATGGCTGACAGCCTGCCAGGAGGGCCCTGAGCTGAAGCTGGTGGGAGCAGCCTGCCAGGGGGGCTGTGAGCCACACGGTGCGGCACAGAGGCAGGGGGGCCAGGTGCAGGAGGTGGTGGGAGCTGCCTGCCGAAGGAGGGTGGGAGCCGAGCTGGTCAGTGGGCTGCTGGGGGGGCCGGGACCTGCAGTTGCTGGTACAAAGGCAGGCAGGCCCATGTGTAGGAGGGGGTGAGGGCAGACTCCCAGGGTGGCCTGCCTCATGGGTGGCCTGCCTCGAAGGAGCCAGGCCCTGGGGAGGGCTGGCACGGAGGCATGCGGGGCTGACTACAGAAGCTGGGCAGCCTGCCGGGAGGAGGGGCATAGTCAGAGCTGGCAGGGCATCCTGCCTTGTCAGCGGCCTGCATGGGGGCTGGGAGCCGGAGCTTGAGGGGGTAGCCTGCCTTATTGCAGGAGCCAGGCGGCAGAGTATGCGTGCACACACCTGCAGGAGCTGTTGCAGGAGCTGTTGCAGGAGCTGGCAGGGGCGGGCGGCCCCAAAGTTGAAAATCCGATGACAGACTGACAAGAACGGTGACGGCTTAATAGAAAAATTATCTAAATAAAGAACTCCACTGTGGGAATTCTAAGCAAATAATATGCAAGAAGCCATTTTTCATTAATTTGCCTTATTTTTCTGTTCACAGAATATCTGAATTTTTTTGAGTATGTTATATAAAGTTACTCAATTCAATTGGTTTTGAAGATTATTTACAGCATTGATTACAAATGAATATTTGTAATCTGAGATTTGTTGCTTAACTGTATTTGGTCACATAATGCTGATGGTATTGGCTCTGTTCTCTGGTTGGATAAGTGTAATTAATTCTTCATATCGGCTTTTTATTGTAAATACTCCCATGTCCAAGGTATACAAGAAAGTTTCCCAGATTCTATGTTGAAAATAAATGAATTTGTTTCTGCCAGTACAAAACATTTATGACTGACAAATAGGGATAACAACTCTAGTTAGAGCAGAAAACTAATATGTTTCCTTTGAACAGCTCAGTATCATAAATGTGCTTTGTTACCCAGGAGTACAGTTGCACATAGGCCCTTCTCCTGCAAAGGGGATATACAGATATGCCTCTGTACACTCAGAAAACCTCCCTTTTAATTCATGGAGCTCCATGTGGGTGCAGGTTTCTGCCCTGATGCAACAGGTTATATAATCCAGTCCACAGATCTTTAGGATATTGATTTCCTGTAGAATTTTGAACAAGTCCTTGATATGTTACATGAAAAAATCATAACTTTAATTTTATGTATTTTCTCTAGCAAACTGAGAAACACAGGGAATATAAAATCAATATTACCTTGTTCTAATTTTCCTCACTGATGAAATCCAATGCTGGCTTTTAATGAGAAGTTGATTTAAAAAAAAGAAGAACAAAAAACCTTACTACTCTAGTTTTGGGATTGATAGCAAAGAGCGGAAACTGTTTATTTGTTAGCAGCAAACTGAAAACAATCCTATAGAATACAAAGCCAAAGGTGAGAAACAAATTCAGACTTCAGATATTCTCAGGTAATATATTTTAAGTGTTCTTAATATTCATCACAGTGTTCAAAATGCCCTCTTCAAAACAACAGGCTCCAGTTCAGCCATGCATTTAAGCTGATATTTAATTTTCAAATGGATCTTTGAGTAGATCAGGTGCAGTGGACAATTTTGAAAAGACCCCTTTTAGGATTAATGCTGTTTTTTCTGTCATTCTTCATGACTGAAAGCATCTCCTGAAGCAGAAGAGAAGCTTATGAAGAATTGTCCTGATTGAAAATGACAGTACTGTCTGCTGTTCTTAATAAGACTGACGTCACAGGCTGCCCCCAATTAAGACAGTGGGGATACATCTAGACTACAGGCTTTTGTCGACAGAGGCTTTGTCAACAGATACTGTTGACAAAGCTTCTGTCGACAAAGAGCGTCTAGACTACATCCAGTTCTGTCGACAAAGCAAGTTGCTTTGTCGACATGAGAGTGTAGATGCAAAGGACAGTGTAGATGCAATAACGCATTCTGTTGACAGAACTCTGTTGACAAAAGGCGTTATTCCTCATAGAATGAGGTTTACCACCATCGACAAAACTGCCAAGTTCTCTCGATGTTATTTTGACAGAACTCGGTGGTAGTGTAGATGAAGGTATAGTTTTGTCGACAAAACCCTGTAGTCTAGACACACCCTCGCAGTTTTGGCCTAATCTTCTTTGTTCTCAACACTCTGAAAGCATATGCTACCACTAGCAGTGGCTAGCAGTCTGTATCCTCAGTAGCTGGGCTGTAGTGACAGCGTGAGGGAAAAAAATATGAAAGAATGTAATGATTTTACAAATTGGCTTAATGCATCTTCATGCCAAATAACAACATTGTTCAATCAGACTGAGGCACAGATTTCCCCTCCCTCTAAAGTGTGGGCCCTCTCAAAATCACCACTGTCTCCATGTAGTTATAAGGTGACTGAAGTCAGAAGCTGCCCTTAGCAATGACTGGCTGATTGTGGCCACAGTATCTTACTTGTTGTGACAGACCGGGCCGAGTTTAGGCACAGCTGAGGGTGTCCGCTCAGGGCGAATTCCTCAAATTCGGGGCTCCTTACAGCCCCCAGACTGGTGACCTTCCCAAACAGGCCACACACCAGTCCCACAGAGCCCTTCAGCAGCCTGCTTGAAGCCTCACGAGCAAAACCCCTCCGACACCTCAGCAATATCCGTGCCCCAGATGTCCCCAGGCCTCATACACAGGTGAGGGGTCTTAGAACCCAATCCCACCTACCCCGAACAAGTTCTGTCCAGTTCCAAGAAACCAGCCACAGATCCCCAGTCAATTTACCATCTGGATCTTACCCACAAATCACACTGAGCCAATCCTTTAGCATCTAACATCTAAAGGTTTATTACTACAATAAAGAAAAGCATGAGAGTAAGGTTGCTAAAGTATCATACATTACATGCATCGAATCTCCCAGTTCTCGATGCAGGCTCTAGCAGAGATGTTACAGCTGCTGGCTTAAAAGTCTTTGTTGCGCAGCCAAGATCAGGATGGGTCCACAGTTCTTTCTGGCCCTTTGATCCCTGCACTGCTGCCTCTGGGATGAAGTGCTGAGCTGAGTACCAAGATGGAGTCCGCCACATGGCCTCTTTATACATCCTTCCTGGTCTCTTCTTGGCTGCAGCAGGTCACCTGACCAGCGGCCGATACCTGTGTTCCTTGCTGGCAGCCCTTAGGTGTCAGCCCTCATTCTTTAGGTGTGTCCTTGGCCCATTGAGTGCCATTGTCCCACAGGGCCTCGCTAATTAGCATGTCCATAGGCCGGGCTCTGTCCAGTGCTCAACCACATGCAGAGAAATATTCAGTATCCACACAGATTACAGATTCCTAACTACGCACACAGAC